TCCTTTGATAGTCCCTAGACCTTCCTGAAAAACATCCAGGTATTTATTTAGAACTTCCCTCAGTAGCCATTTTCTAATTGAAAAATGTTGAGCCAATTGAGATGAATCCTTCTCTACCAATTTTGCTCCATTAGACTTAAGCCCAAGCTTTTTACTACAGTCAGTGGTAACTGAACCAGTGGCTTCTCAGAAAAGACTGGAACCAAAGTTGTACCCTTCAATGTAAAGGTTGCCCAGTATAGGTTCTCAGTCTAGCCGAGGTCTCAAGCAAACTTAAGAGTTGGAATCCAGAGCGAATTCTGTTAAAGACTGGTTCTGCCTTCACTGATACAGCCACGCTGGTATCAACCTCCAATAAAAACATTTAATCAGACATTTATTTTGATTGGTTCTGATTTGGATGCCACTAAACAATTTAATTTTTCCGCAATATGTAGGTAGACTTTCTAGGATGTGCACTCTCCTGAATATCAGCTTATGAGTTCTCTTACTCAATTCAGTCCCTAGTGGGACTCTTTTGCTGTCTTGAGTCCACACACAGGCAGCAACTACAACTGTTTGCCGGCCCGGACCCTGAAGAAAACGTTAACCATTTGACCGAAGCATTGCTGTGTTTTGGGTTTTGCTGTGGGCTGACCTAGAGTCCCTCTGTTCAGGATATGTCCTGAGTGAGGCTAAACAGTTTTCTTCACTCAGATGTTGACTCCCAAGCTCGGTCGGCCTGGCAGGAGTGTCCATTTCCATTGGCATATCCTGTAACTCAAATGCTCCACTTGTGGCATTTTCTAATGACAAAGCCAGTTGTAGAGCCTTATTAAAATCCAGTCTGGCTTCAAGTAGTATGCTCTTTTACCAGTTGGTGTCTCAGATCACATTAAGGATTAAACCAAAGTCACATGCTTCGTTCAATTATCTTAAAGTCGTCAAAAGTCCAGTCACAGATTCCCCTGTTTCTCAAAATGCCGAGTAAAACCGATAGTGTCTCAGAATTGGTGGGCAAATTATTAGAAAGGGCCCTGTGGGATAGGTTTATGATCACTTGGATAAGCACAGTTTGATTCGTGATAGTCACCGTGGATTTGTGAGGGGTAGATCATGCCTCACAAACCTTATTGACCTCTTTGAAGAGGTGACCAAACACATGGATGAAGGTAGAGCAGTGGATGTGGTATACATGGATTTAAGTAAGGCGTCTAATAAGGTTCCCCATGGTAAGCTCATGCAGAAAGTAAGGAGGCATGGGATAGGGGGAAATGTGGCAGATTGGATTCAGAATAGGCTGACCCTTAGAAGACAAAGGTGGTAGTGGACGGAAAATATTCAACCTGGGGCTCAGTTACGAGTGGTGTACCACAAGGATCTGTTCTGGGTCCTCTTCTATTTGTGATTTTTGTAAATGATTTGGATGTAGGAGTGGAAGGGTGGATTAATAAGTTCGCGGACAATACGAAGGTGGGTCGAGTTGTGGATAGTTTGGAGGGCTGTTCTAGGTTACAAAGGGACATTGATAGGATGCAGAGCTGGGCTGAGATGGAAATCTGCCACAATGGAGTTTAAACCTGAAAAGTGTGAGGTGATTCATTTTGGAAGGACAAACTTGAAAGCAGAATACAGGGTTAATGGAAAGATTCTTGGCAGTGTGGAGGAGCAGAGGGATCTTGGGGTTCATGTCCACAGTTCCCTGAAAGCTGCCACCCAAGTGGATAGAATTGTTAAGAAGGTGCATGGTGTGTTAGAGGGATTGAGTTCAAGAGCCATGAAGTTATGCTCCAGCTATACAAAACCCTGGTTTGGCTACATCTGGAGTATTGCGTCCAGTTCTGGTCACCTCATTACAGGAAAGATTTGGAAGCGGTAGAAAAGGTGCAGAGGAGATTTACCAGGATGTTGCCTGGAATGGAGGGAAGGTCCTACCAGGAAAGATTGAGAGAGCTAGGGCTTTTCTCATTAGAACGACGAAGGATGAGAGGTGACTTGATAGAGGTGTACAAAATGATCAGAGGTGTAGATAGAGTAGACAGCCAGAGACTTTTTCCTAGGGTAGAGGTAGCTATTATGAGGGGGCATAGTTTTAAAGTGAGTGGAGGTAGATATCGGGGAGACGTCAGAGAATGGTAGGGGCGTGGAATGCATTGCCGGAGAGGGTAGTGGAGTCGGCCTCATTAGGGGCATTTAAGCAGCTATTAGATAGGCATATGGATGATAGTATAAGGTAGGGGTGGAGGTTAGATAGACCTTAGGTTTAGGGTAAAAGTTTGGCGCAACATCATGGGCCGAAAGGGCTGTACTGTTCTATGTTCTATGTTCTAATTAGAAGAGGCTTGGGGTCATAATATTCCTAAAGCAAATCTGTCAACTCTTGAAAGGTTTTAGTATTTGGTGCCTTAGGAAAAGTTAGGCTCCTAATAATCGAGAAATGATCAGCAGCTTGCAGGTCCACAAGCCATCAGGAGAATTACTTGTTGCTTTTTATCTACTCCAATATCATTTGCCTGGAAAAAATAATGCATTCTTTCCACATACTGGGCCCAGTCTTAGACAGCAGGGTGAAATGAATCAAGCTTGCCAAATGACATGATACTAGAAATGCTTACTCCAATTCAATGATGACTGATGACTTTAAGAGCATATTTTTTTTCTCTCTCATCGCCACTGAAATAACTCCAGAGAGGCTGGTATCCTATCACCAAGTCACCCTTTATTTGCACCTACATACTACTTGACACTGGTCTGGCTTTCTCAAAGTGAACAGAACCTCTGCCACTCCTGTTTATATCTGTTAGCCAGGGCTCCCTGATTGGACCAGGTTAAGAGCTTCAATGAAGGAACTCCTATTCTATGAGGTCTACCTGGCTGACCTTGTTATAATCACTACACCCAGTACCTCTCCAGTAACTATGTACGTCCTTTTTAGAGTTAGAAATTAGTTTTCAAATAATGTCAGTGAGTTACCAGTTTTGAACACCTGCTACTGCATGCAACTAATCAACAGGATGGTTTGCATGGGTTACATACGTATCTCATAATGACGAGGCCATATCCAGGTGCTATGCAGCCTGTGTTGTTAGCAAAGCATGTAGTACCATTCTCTGGCCTGTTTAAGGGCATTCTCCAATTTAATACCCTTCTGTCTGGTGAAGCTTTTTCTGAATTTCAAGCTCAATAATTAATATAGGAATCTCTGGATGTCATAAACCACATCGTGGCAAATAATTTCATGTTGTTGAACAGCCAGAATAAATGGTGTTAGAACATGGGTATTGCAAGGTACAATCACAGTACACTGCTTCAACAATATAGCCTAACCCCAAACTCAAATTTGCACCCACATCCCAGCTCCATACAGTATCCTGACAATTTCTGCAGAAGTCATGTTAATTATTTCTCTAATCCTAAACTTAAATAGTTTGGATGGCAGTTTTCTCCTCATCTGTATTTGGTTTATTTAGTATCAAAAACTGTAGAGTATAAAAGACATAGCAACATGGTGACAAGTTGTTCCAGTGTAAAAGTCTTCAAATCACTTTATTTATTTTCAAAATACTTGCACAGCTTGCATATTTGGATTAACATTTTATAAATCCTGGCTGAAACAGACAATGCATCCTAATTTGAACTTTCAAATGGCAAACAAAGCACACTTTATTTAAAAATAAATAAAGAAGCAGTCTATGTTCTTAAGCTTGAAACTTGCTTTTATTTTCTTTCATTGGATGATGGACATTGCTCGTAAGGTCAGCATGTGTTGCCCATTCGAATTGGCCTTGAACTAATTGGCTTTCTAGATAATTTTAAAAGGCAGTGTTGTGAGCTTAGAGTCAGGTGCAGGCTGGACCAAGTAAAGGGCATTAGTGAATCAGATGGGCTTTTTTTTAAAACAACAATCAATGGTAGTTCTTATGGATATCATTACCAAGACTTGTTTTATAATCCAGGTTTATTGATTGTATTTAAATTCCACCAGCTGCCATGCTAGGGATTAAAACCCATGTCACCTGAGCATTAGCCTGGTCCTTTGGATTACAAGTCTAGTCACATTACCACTCTTCCACAATCTCCCCAAATCCCTCAAATACCATTAAAAGAATTAACCCTGACATTTGAAAAAAAATGAACACTCAGATTGTAAATGTCAGAACAATTGGATATTGGGGAGCAGAATATATACAGAAGAAGCATTAGAAATAAACATAAGTGATATTGGTCAAGGCTGCAACATTATTTCCGTGAGTCACCTCAAGGTTTAATAAGGAAGAAAGAATGATGCTTAATTCAAGTCAAAATGCAAATTTTCTGGGTCTTTGATTTATCATATATTGTTTGTATTTAATCAATAATATGTGCAACTATTTAAACATTGTCTTGCTGCTTTCCAGATGACATGTTAATATGGGCTGAGTAACTGAATTGTTGTAAGTGTTAGAATACAAAAAAAATTATGTCAAATGATGCAAATTCATAGGAACCTAAATTGTCCTCATGAGACTAAGTTTATGGTATTTTGTACAGATGGTTAGAAGGCATAATTTTCATTTTTAGGTATGGATATTCTTGAAGGGTGGAAGGTAAAAAACATTGTTTCTTTGAAATTTTAATTCAACCAGATGTTGTGAAATGTAAATTTTATGCTACAGTGCAACTCCTTCTTTAAAAGTCCTATGGCTCAAACTCAAAAATACAGATTGCCATCAGCACTTGTGGATATTTTGTCTTTTGTAATTCTGGCCTTAGTACAGTAACATTGATCATAAAAATCAATGCAGATCTTTTCATCACAATTTATCTCCAACAGCATGTAATTTGAATATAGTATGTTTTAATGGTTACGTTTGCATTATACATAAAACGATAGCTGTCTTTTGAATGTACAATTGGAGTTTTTCTGTCTGTCACTGCATTTCTTATTATGTATTATTTATAAAGATTTTTAACTTTTATATGTCAACTTTGAGCTATATCTTCCTGTAACTACAGTCTGTGCTATCTTCTTTAATTCACAGAGAGCATATTTTATTATGAAGATGAATTTCTACAATGAAATGGCTGTCAGGGTAAATAAATCTCCCTCATTATTCAACAAACGATGGCATCAAAATGTGCTCTAAGTATGCTTTTATACTATATTTGCTAATCTAAATCAGAAGCAAAGTGAGTATCCGTCTGGAAAAGTGCCAACTTCTTTCATTTAATATAGTTCAGACAAAGGAATTCAATTTATAATATAAATAGTTCTTAGAATTATATTTCTACACACCAAGGTGGTTTATAAATGTAACAGAATTTAATAATGTGTATGGTTGAACTTTAATATATACAGGTGTATGTTATTTATTGATGCATTTCTTTGTCACCATTATGCCATCTTGTGGGTATCAAAAACAGTAGATACTTGTTTGCATTTTGCAACTTTACAAAAATATATACTGTTTAATGCTGGCAAATAGGATTAGATCAGTTCAGGTTATCTGGTCAATGCAGATGAGTTGGACCAAAGGATCTGTTTCTGTGCAGTATTACTCTATGACACTATTATTACTAGATCACTTACCACATTATCATCATGTGCATCAGGAGATGAAACCAGATTGACATGAACATTAGTATTTATTCTGAAATATGGCACAGCTGAGGCTTGTCAGAAAAACATTAAATGGGTTTCAAAAAAATCAACTCAGATACAGTAATTGGTGTCCAAAGTGAAATGCAGTACTTGAGGATCTTGATTATGAAACAACATATTAGTGTCCTAATGGAGTATACAGCAGAATGTTAGAATGTTGGTTTTGACTTTCATTTCCTCATTTAGTGGGGCTTTGGTGTAACCTGAATTGACTGGGTTTAAGCTTAGAGAACAGTTAAAACCAGGACAGAAAGAAAATTGGAAATGAAGTCTTTTTGTATGACAAGTGGAGTCTGACTATAGAGTATAATTGGTGTGCCTGGAAATCATTTGCTTTTCTTTTGGTTGTACAGGCAGAATTTAGTCAAGGTAATAACAGATTTGAAGATGAA